CCTGCTCTAAGTACCACTGAAGCATAAATGAACCGAAGAAAATCCAGGGACAAGCTCGACGTCACCTACTACCTACACTACACGAACAATGAGCTCCCGTGACTACTTCGCCCATTTATTAACGCAGACAGCGGCCATTTCGATAAGTAATATGATACTCCGTTTATAAAATTTCCGAAAATAAGTTATTGTTTTCTTGTCTCTTCCTGGCCGCACTTACGGCACCTACGGCCTTCTGGCCACACATACGTTAATGCATATCCTACGAGAAAAACAAAATGAGATGCTCTTGTTCATGCCAAGCGGCTGCCCGCGGCTTCAAATAGAAAACGCCACAGTAGAATAAGCCAAGAAAGGAAAATAAGAGAGGAATGCTACAAAAGGCACATAATGAATGAACATTTCAACTCAGACATGCATAAAGTGACAACATCACCCACTCCTCTGCGTCATCATCCTCTCCATCCGAGAATCCTTGAAGTTGGGCAGATCGACCGACGTACTTACGCTAAACGTGCAGCATTTTCAAAACAGTCAAAAAATGGCAATGTTAGAAAGGCGGCAGACAACCATCAAAATTAGTTTAAATGGTCGTATTCAACGTGGGAACTTCGCTCCAATTTGAATCAAAAGCAGAAGGTCAACAAAAGCTCTATCTTGAGCTATATATAAGAAAAAATTTTATCAACGCCACCCTTCTGGTGATACTATAAGAATATGTCAGCTAGTTCTCGTTTGATGTAGGCATGTATAAACATTTAATATTTGGAGCAAAATGGATGACAGTCTACAGTTTCATTGAGATCGTGAATAATGTCTCCCAATACAGCGATCAATTGATTTTGTTGCTAACAGCGTGAATATATCCATCGATGTTTTTGCTTACTCATAACACTGCTGCTATATGGACTGTGGACACGCTTTTGTCGGAATGGGATTTCATAATATGTGTAAAGCACAAGAATGTGAGGGGTGTCAAATTTCAGTGTACAAATTTAATTAACCAGAGGGCCTTGAGAAGTGAAAAATTTACTGAAAATCACTTTTCAGTTCCATATTGCAAATATGTGCTCAGAAACTCAAAAGCCAGTAATAATTTCACGAAAACAGTAATCTAAGAAAAGAAATAAAAAGAAAAATTAAATGTAGAAAAACGGGTCCAAAACACAAAAATAACTCAAATGCAGAAAAGAAATGAAACCAACCTGCTCACTGATAAAGGCAAGATCTTCATCTCCACGAGCATTAGAGTTCTCCTAAATTTACACTGCTGAAAATCGTTAAAAAAAAACGGCACAATGAAGTGTCTGTGAAGGCAGGAAAATGAATATGACAAATTTAAAACGAAGTTGGACAAAATGCAACAACCTTGTCTTTTTCTCCGGAAGTAATCGAGATTTGTGTTGTTCTTCACATCACCCGAGAGTTCCCAAACACGTGCTTGTTTTCCTTTTTTCTTCGGCTCTATCTCTGGTGTTCTGAGATGAAAATTCTGGTAAGCTAGCTTGTGTTGGGCAACAAAATACAAAGTTTTGTGAAAGTACCACTGTGCGGTAAGGAGCGTTGGTTTAGAACAACTTTATCAACATGAAACATACTTGGCAGCCGCTGGTTTCTTTGCATTCATCTTTCTCAGCAACACCTCTCTACGCTTCGCAATCTCATCGCTTGGAGAACCCGGCGTGGAGCCCACATCACTACCAGAATCTGTCGATGCACTGAAACCAATTCAGAAATAATCTCCGCAAATATATAAGCATCAATCAAAGTCATCCGATAAACAGGCCCAATTCTTACTTACTGTAATTGGATGTAAGACAACTGTATGCAACCTTGAAATGAATAAAAAAAACATATTCAAGCTGTATAAAATAGCTTTGCTGGCAAAACTCATACTTGGGGTCAAACCTTAAGCAAGCTATTAACATTCAAACATTTCTCGAGCGTAACCCAATAGGCATAGGGCGACACATTTTTCCTTGGTGACCACCCCAAAGATCGCTAGTTCTTTTAAACTCATGCACTCTTCCATTAACATTGTACTATTTCAATTCTACATTCATATAACTAAAAAGCTTCGATACGGAAGTCCAGATACACCAGCGGCGATATAAAATAATTACTGCGAAGTGAAGCGCTTTTCGGGACGAATTTGTTGCAAGTATGAGGAGATCCATCGGAAACAAAAACATGAACACAACATTCATGCTTCGATTCCCATTATACAAAATCTTGTGTATTTTTTGAACTCGATTTTCTTGAGAGACGCATGGCAAAATTCTTCTATCCAAAATCTTAGAAAGTGCTAGCAAAATTTGCTTCCTTTTTTTGGCATCGGTAATAAACTGTCGAGAGTACACATGTTGACGCATATCGCGTATTTTTCGCTGCAGTGCCTGCTACCGTTCAGTAGAAGGCACTTGATGTCCTGGGCAAAAGGTGATGAGAACTACGTATAGGTAATGGATGCTCGACGGAAGGATCATTATGCAATCATGTTGGCGACTAGAGCGAATTTTTGTTGTGTGATCCTCTAACCCTTTCTTTACAAATTGATGTTACAAATTATTGAAACTGAGCTGCGCGATACTGAAAAGTTATTGAATACCGTGTACATCATTATTTCCTGGCTTGCGACAGAAAGGCGCATAACCTTTTTCGGGGCTTCTCTTCCACCTTTCTTCGCTTTTTTGCCATCACCTGGACGGCTGATGATCATTGAATCGATGGTCTTTTGTGATTTCACACTCTCCTGAATTTGAGAATAAAAGAAGTCTTAGATGCGCCCCTGATACAGCTTCATCTCAACAAACAACTGCACATACACTTAGAAAACGATTCGATACTTTGAAAAGAACTGAAATGTTAAGAAAAATTCTGGGAGCTCTAGTTTACAAATTACGATCTGAAAACCGGATCGGATTAAAACCAGTCGTTTTGACTTATAAAAAAGACGCAAAACCCACACTAACCTGGAATGTTCTAGGCTTTTTGGGAATACCCGTGGATTGCACATTTGATCTCATGAGGTCATCTCGAATACTGAACAACAATGAAGGTTGCGCTCATACAGAAACTCGAAAACGACAAAAAAAAACATGAAATAAGAACGAAAGAACTAAATGGTCTGTGATTGCCACCACTCACTACCAACTGTATAAGGTTACGGAGATATATGACCATAATCATGACAAACTGACCATAAAAATTCTGATTCGAAGTGACGAAATGACTCCTGTCCGTACTGGTATAGTATCTGAAAATGGCTTGAAAGACAACTCTCAACAGAAAGGAAACATCTTATGGCAATTGGCTTTTATGTTACACACACTTATGAGCCTGATTTCCATGAGCATCACAATATTATGCTTCCAACGCCTTAAATTCCAAAACATATGCCATTTCCCTATATCCGCCAATGCTTTGTACAGCCACCACTGCTACCAAAGGTTTCAAAAATCTAACAGGAAATCTCATAATCGACAATATACCTGTTTATTCAACAGAACATTTTTGTACATATCCCGAAACTTTTGACGGACATCCGACAACAACTTATCCGTGTACGACAGCTGCATCGCTGATTGGTAAATAACCTGAAAATGGAGTTGGGATCAAAATTCTTCAGGCTTCATATGATGTTCAACGAGACATTCCTTTGGTGCATACAATTAATGGAAAACTCAGAACTTACAACGAAAACTAGCTCAAACTCATTATCAAGTTTGAACTTGATGGTCATGTCGTTGTATTTGTACTGGGTAAGAGCACGTTCCTGAAGTTATTCAGCATTGCTAAAGAAACCTGAAGATTGAAGAAACAAGTTTAAGCAAACCTGAATAAGGACGTCCTTCACGAATGTATTGATCGCGTCAACAAAACGGTCGGCTCCTTCCTAGAACACAACAATGTGGCGTGTACTCTTTGCACAAGTAGTATCGGCCCAGCGTCCCACTGAGGCATGAGAAAAATTCTCTTGTGCATATTTCAAATTCCTTAGGATTACTAAACCTAAATCAAAAGACTTGGTAGGCAGCCCTATTACCCAGATCAGAGGTAATGAATAGGAGGAACTAACCTCCAAGGCAAACCTACTGGATAATAACTTATTTTGACGCCGTCTCCGTAAGCATGTTTTGAAAGGGTAAAACCCAACCGAGCTGCGGCAAAAATTTTAATAAGAAGTGCGGGCAAATTTGTCGCGGGTATGGCATTCCTCTTACCCGGGAAGCAAACGAACCAGTGTAACCTGTTTTGCTCAATTCTGGATGTAAATATAACAATTCCATGTTAAAAACATTCCCATGAAACGGTTCGAATTTTATAAAAAAAAAGTGACGTCAGCAGAATACCAAAGAAAGTACCTATTCAACATCTATTACTTCTACGATGGCCACTAAAGCTAAAATAAGAAACATACCTGGAATGCCCATAAGCCGAAGCCACCTTTCGTGAAAATCGCGAATAGCTCGATCATTGTGAGGACTAGGAATCAGCTGAAACTGCGAAAACTGGTAGACCAAAACATAATAACATAATAGCTCGTGTCAGAGGAAATTAGAAGTATTGGAGTCGTACGCAGAAATTCAGATGTTGATGCAACACGAGAAGTCATGAAATGCATAGCGCAAGTGCAATGAGTTGGAAATCCGTACGCGGCCAAAACGATACGATCGAAACTAGCACTACATTGGCGGAAGACCCCGCCCATTCTGTCGTGTAATGGCACATAGTGCATTTTAAACCACGTCATGCAGTGATGGGCCCGAAACCATAAGCTAACTTCGGTCCAGTGGAAGGCCAGCAGTCCGCTGTACAACTACAAATGGGGAATTTGGGTATTTGGGGCTGAGCAAGGAGAACCACTTCTTGGAAAAACCCGGAAGCGGGTCGTATTTCATGGAACCCGAAGGGACCTGGTTGCGTGAGAGGAAGTCGTTTCTTAAGGGATTTCGATGAAACTTGGGTTTAAAGGTGCCATGCGGCGTCGCGGCGCTGTTCGCTATTGCTGAAGCTCAAAAACTCGAACTCGATGCTCGAAAAGTAGGAAGAAAGTGCAAACATGTGATTTTTTTTTTTTGAAAAAAAAAACTGGGGTATGGAAGCGCTCATTAGGAAGCTCAAAGCTCCCCTACATCCTTGCTTTACCGACAGCTGCCATGAACGGAAGGAAGAAAGCTACGGCCTCTGGAAGTCCAGAAACTCGCTTCGGATAACAAAAGTGGCAAACCTTCACCCCTCTCCTCCCTCCCCCGGAAAATGAATCGAGGAGCGATAATGTGTTTAGTGGGAAACGGAAACCCTCACTTTCTTGACATGGAAAAGTTTACCACAGAAGTGATAAAGACCAACTTTGTGGTCACCATAAGTCCCAAAACCTCCAGTCGCACAAAAAAGTGC